GCGGGAAGCCTGCTTCTCCCTCTCCCACTCCCCCTGCTTGTGTTCGTTCTCTCGCTGTGTGTCTCTCTGTCAAATAAATAAAGTCTTAAAGAAAAAAATAATAAACTACAATGAGATATCATCTCACACCTATCAGAATGGCTAAAATCTACAACACAAAGAAACAACAGGTGTGAGTGAGGATGTGGAGAAAGGGGAACCCTCTTGCACTGTTGGTGGGAATGCAAGCTGGTGCAGCCACTGGAAAACAGCATGGAGGTTCCACAAAATGTTAAAAATAGAACTACCATATGATCCAGCAATTGCACTACTAGGTATTTACCCAAAGAATACAAAAATACTAATTCAAAGGGATACATGATGTTTATAGCAGCATTATCTACAATGGCCAAATTATGGAAACAGCTCAAGTGTCCATCCACTGATGAATGGATAAAGAGGTGGCATGCACACACACAACGAACTAGTACTCAGCCATAAAAAAGCCATAAAAAAGAATGGTCTTGCCATTTGCAATAACATGGATGGAGCTAGACAGTATTATGTTAAGCGAAATAAGTGGGTCAGAGAAACAAATACCATATAATTTCACTCATATGTTGAATTTAAGAAACAAAACAGATGAGCAAATGTTAAAAAAAAAAAAAAAAGGCAAACCTAGAACCAGACTCTTCACTATGGAAAACAACTGGATGGTTATCAGAGGAGAGGTAGGTGAAGGGGGGGTAATGGGTGAAATAGGTGATGGGGATGAAGGAGTGCACTTGCTGTGATGAGCACCGGGTGTTACATGGAAGTGTTGAATCACTATATTGTACACCCGAAACTAGTATTACACTGTATATTAAGCAATTGGAATTTATGTATTTATTTTTTTACTAACTGGAATTTAAATAAAAACTTAAAAAAAAACCCCCAAACCCCACGAATCTTTATGCTGTATATCTAAAACGAATAGGACGTTATACGTCAATTATATCTCAATTTAAAAAAACTGTATTCTTAAGCAGGTGAAGATGGCTTCTTATCATTGACTCCAAAAGCCTTTCTTGTATATGTGCAGACACTTCAACATTTTCTAGGTCTCCCAATCATTTATACCTTCAAATTTTACCATCACTCTGGAACACGTTTAAAAAAAAAAAAAAAAGCCAAAGCAAGAACTCTCTAAAAGGCTAAAGTCAAATAAAATGAAGTCGTACTTGTCTTAGTTTTCTTCCAGATGGGCTTTCTCTGTGGAGGTGAAGTGTCCAAGGGTTTTTCAGAATGTGAGCGGTCAACGCGTTAGAGAACGTTGGCCCCAGAAAGGTCTTCTCTTTTCCTTTACTTGGTCTGCATCGTGGAGTCGCTAAAAATCAAGCGCCTGGAAAGAACGCAGACGCTGCGCGATCGCAGCGCAGGCCCGCATACCCTCCTCGCCCAGCTTCCCGCCCCTCCAGGCTCTCCCCGGAGCCTACC